CTCGGGCGGGCCGCGCCTGGTGATCGGCTCCTTACCAGCTCACCTCTCGCCGCACTTATTTGGAGGTACGGCCCCCTCGCACCTTGGCTCCCCAAGTCCCCGGCCTCCGGCGGGCGGCACGTGCGCCGCTGTCGCGCTTATTTTTACCCTTCTCCTTTTCTCCTTCAGCCTGAGCGCTGGGGATTTGCCGCGCGGCCGGGTGGAGGAAAGTCGCCTCCCGAACCCGGCGCCGCTACTGCTGACCCTGGTGTTTGGGTTTTGAACGCCGCGTGCACGCTCACCTCCCAATAGAGAAAGTCCTGGTTTTCCGCAAGAGGTGAATGGAGCAATTATTGTTTGAAAACAAAACGACGCGACAGTGCTTGTGGCTTTTTATTATCAGGAAGTCTAGAAGATCCGTTGCTTAAATGGGGACTCGCGTGCTGAGCAGTTTTTTAAGGCCAGATCAGTGTGTCTAAAATGAACAAGAGCATTTGAAAGAGGAGGGTACAGTTTAGACTCTCTTGGGCTGACTTAATATAAAACACGAATTCTGAAGTCTGTGTAAATAGTCATGCCCACCTCGTATAGTAGATGAATGTGCTAATGAAAGTGTTATCCTTAACCCCAGTAAACTTTACTTTAGATAATGGCTGATGTGAGTTCTGCTTAATTTGGACAGAGAAAATTGAAAATTTTGAAATTTGAAAGCAACTTAAGGAGAGAAACGATAACTTATTACAGTTCTGCCTACAAGATGCAGTGAAAGCCGTATGTGCTTTTGCAAATCACTGTTTTCTGGGGTTCTGAAAATGTTACTTGTGGAAAGTAGAAAATTTTAATAGCAAAATGTTGGCTTTTATGGAGAAACAGGAGGAAGTGTGCACTTGATTTGAGGAAAATTAATTTGAACGCTTTAGTTGTATGATGATTTACCCACTTAAAAAAGGTTCATAGTAAGTGAATAGAGACACTTCCTTCCACCCTCGTGCTCTCCTAGTTCAAGCAAATAGAAGTTAAACATTCCATATCATTGCATTATATCTGATGATACTAGATAAATATGTAGTTGAGTACACATAGTGAGGATATCATGCCCATTTTTGTGTTCCTTTTACTCATGTTTATAAATGTGAGATATTTGAGTGGGGAGTTGATAAAGGGGAATATTTACGATGTAATTGTTGCAATTGAGCTGTCAGGATGTTCTCTACTATTGGTCACTTTAGCACAAATTAAAAATAGGAATTTTGTTTAGTGTTTTCCATCTTTTTAGTACTTTGCATATTCAGTAAAGAACAATTTAACTACCTTACTTGTAATTTTGCCATGTAAGTAAAAACAGTAAGGTTTCATAAAATGGGGCTGTCTTTCAAGAATCTTGTTTTTCAGAAAAACAGCTAATAGCTGTCCCTATTATAGTTTAATCATAATTAATGCAGATGAAGGTGCTGTTGTCATCACATCAAAGAAAACAAGATAGTAATGTGGGAAGGGGGAATCAGAGCAAGAATACGTTAATTTTTAAAAATATCCTTTTAAAATGAAAACTTGCAGTTAGCACTGTGATTATCAAAGATATTTAAAAGCTTACAAATGAAGGATGAGAAGGGACTTGTCAAATTAATTTATTTTTAAATAACGGATGACTTTATATTAATTTTTTAAAGGGCTGATACAATTTCCTTTAACAAAGGTTTGTGTGCTTTATAGGTTTATTTTCTTAAAATATGTACCATTCAACAATGGGCAATTAGCTGATACCTGTGTTATTCATAGAAAATTAACAAATGACAAAGAATTGCTGAAAGTTGGAGAAGTAAAGCACCTTTTTTCTCATCAGAGTTCTTAGATTTTTATATAGCTTTTTAGTACTTTGGGGCAAAGGGTGGGGGGGAGAGGTTAGATGATTGGGCCAGTAGCAGCATGGTGATACAGGAAGGAACTTGTGGCAGTCTTTTTTTTTTTTTTAAGTGTTTATGCTTGTGAGAGTTGGGTGTAGGCCAGAGAATTGGAGGAGGGGGGAGGGTGAGAGAGAAGAGAGTGGGGATTAGAACAGGTAGATTAACAGAAATACACTGCTGAGGAGAGCAAAAGGCTAGACAGAAGAAGTGCCTCGTGCTGCCTAGCTTGTGCTTGGATGACTACTGATAGCTTCATAGTGCTGAGACTTAACCCCTTGCCAGCTGCAGTCTATCTTAACCTAATCTCTGGAGAGAATTGAGTCCTACTGTCTTGAGGGCTTCTATTGGATGCAGTGAATTAACCTTTGCATTTAGAATGATTTTACTTGTGGATCTTGGAAAATTTAATAGTCACCCATGTAATCTTGTGTGTTTGGTGGCACAGAATAGAAAAACCAGTTCAGGAAAATTGAAAGGGGTTTCCGGAAATAACCTTTTTCTGTTGTATGTTGGGATTACGTCAAAGTGCTAGTAACTTAAAACAGTGTACTTTTAGGCATCTTTAGTAAGATACTAACCTGCATTTCAGTAAATGGGGAAAGAAACTTAGGGGGATGTTTCTCATCATCCTGAAATTTAGGGAGGTATATGGTGAATCTAATTATTTAACAAATATATTTGATAGTTCACATTGACTTTTTTAGTACTTACTATAGTATTAATGCATTCAGTTGCAAACTCTACAAATGTCTGGGCTAATACAAAGTAACTCCACATCAAAATTGAGAAAGAGAATTTTTTTTAAAAAAGATTTATCCATTCATGCATGTAAGAACTGGGGTACAGGCCAGAGGTACAGGGGAGGGGGGAGAATGAGAGGATTCAGTAGAGACAGAGTGGGGAGCAGAACAGGCAGATCTACTGAAATACACTGCTGAGGGGAGCAGCAGACTGGTTAAGAGAGGTCTGCTGCACCATGTGGGTCACTTTCCTGGCTGGGAATGGAACTCATGCAGGTAGCTTCATAGTGCTGTACTTACCTGTTGGAAATGTTTTTGAATCAGTGGAAAATTCGAACATTTTGCGAAACAATTATTTTAATCGTTCTTATTGTTAATCTGTCTCTTCTAATAAGAAAACATGGCATTAGTAAGTTATACAATTATTTTCTTGTGGGCTTGTGTAATTTTATAGAAAAGAAAAACCTGAACAGTAGTACTTTAAAAAAATTTAGATGTCTAGCAAGTCTAAATGTTATTCATTCCATCATAATGATCACATTGAATGAATTTCGTGTTGGCTTTGTGTTTTACTCTTTGGGGCATATATCTTCTGGAAATACACATTTTTATGTTTAGAGACAGAAGATAACCAGAAGAGAAATGCGTAATCTATATATTTCACTTTATAGACATTTCCTAGAATTGTTGTTGGATAATGGAGTATGATTTATTCCATAGGTGAAGTAGGTCTTTCTTGTTTTTGTTAATTCTTTTCAGACTACTAATTAGTACTATTTAAGTGAATCAAAGCTCTCTCTCCCCCCCCCCCCATTTATCAACTTTGATGTAATGGTCTTTAAGGATATAGTATAAGACTTTAAAATATTGGGAATTTTCTGAAGTTCACAAAAGCAATTATTGATAAAATTATCTTTCCTGGCAAGATGGGGGAGATGAATTGAGCTATAAAAATACACCAGTGAATGGAGATTATTTCTGAAGAAATCATGTGGAATTCTCAGATATTCATAATTCTGGGAGTGAAAATGTAAAATGAATTGATCTAAACAAATAACTGGTGGTACTGGATACCTCTTGCTAATTGGCTTGAGCTTATTTGGATGTGGTGTGCCCATGAGTATTTTAGTAGTGTGAGTATAATTTAGGTGCGTCCTGTATTTTAGGAAACATTTCTGCTTATTTTGAAGGAGTGTGGCCTATTTACCAAAATTGAGTATGTGAAGTAAGATTATATTTCTAGGTAGATTTATCTTTCTTAATCTTCCAGATAGATGTGTGTTTTTTAGTGTTAATCATCATTAATTAGCCACTGTTGAAATGTTCTTAGTCATTTCTTTTTAAGTGCCTAAATGTTTGAATTGTGGTTAATTTATATCCTGTTATTTATGTTTTTTAATCAATTGAATATCTTTATGGGGAGTGGCAGAAGAGAAGTATCTGTTGCCAAAGTATAATGATATTTTTTAACCCACATCCCTGCTAGGCTTTCTCCTTACCCTCCAAAAAAGAAACAAAAACAGCAAGAATTCAATTTTGGTGGTTAATGTTTCTCACTTGTAATATCACTATATGAAATACCTTGTATGGTATGCTTGTGTAGTGTCTAAGTGTGGCCCCAGTCATGGAAATTTCTAGTTTGGGAATATTTTAAAGTTTTCTTGACTGCAGGGTGGAAGATGGGCTGGAGTTAGCAGTGGCTTATGTTGTGCTGGGTAGCATCTGATCTGAGAGCTGCCTCTTCTAAATACCTGACCAAGGTACTTTAGATACTTTGCAAAGTCAGTAACAAGTTTGTTGTTTGACTAACTGGTAATGTCTCCAGCAAGTCATCCTACTCCTCCAATTTCATTGCTCTACTGAGTAACTAAGTAGTTTTACTTGTTTTGGGGCTACTTACATCATTAATTTGATACCAGTTTTCCCCTATAATTTCCCCCATAATTATCACTATCTTGTGTTATATTTACTTGGTATATATACAATGGGTATATTAACAAATGGATTAGAAGTATACAAACTCCGTAGCTTGGTTCTTTATAAATGTTTTAATTTCTTGTATATTGGACTAGCATTAACTAACGAGTTGCTTGTTTCACACTTATTTAAGTGTTTAGAAATTGGGGAAATTATGTCCTTTGTGTCAACAAAGGGTTTGGAAATAGCTTAAATTGTGAATATATTCTTTTTTTTTTTTTTGCAGTTTATGAAAAGAATTACTACATAGTTAGCTACCCAGAGGAACCCATAATCTTAGTTTCTTTGGGTCAGGAGTCTGAGCATAAGTTAATTCTCTGCAGGCTTGCAGTCAGAAGTATTGACCATACTGTCTAGAATAAGCTGAAGAAGGATCTGCTTCTAAGCTTCCTAGGTGGTTGGCTGAATTTACTTCATAGTTATTCACCTTCAGGCAGTCTGCTTCTTCAAAGCCAGCAAAGAAGA